CATCTCTAGGTATTGTGCATCAAAGTAGCTGTCCATATACTCCACAATAAAATGGAGTTGTGGAGAGAAAGCATAGACACATTCTAGAGGTAGCAAGGGCTCAAAGATTTCAAAGTGGTGTACCAGTGAAGTTCTGGGGGGACTGTGTGAAGACATCTGTGTATTTGATCAACAAGCTCCCTTCAGATGTCTTGACAGGGAAATCTCCTTTTGAATTGCTGCATAAGAAGCCACCAAAGGAGGATCATTTAAGAATGTTTTGTTATTTGTGCTATGCAAGCACATTGACTAAAGGTGACAAGTTTGCCCTAATGGCAAGAAGAACAGTCTTCTTAGGATATTTAGAGACTCAAAAAGGATACAAGTTGCTTGATTTAGACAATAACACCTTCCTAGTTAGCAGAGATGTCAACTTCAGAGAGAATGTGTTTCCTTTCAAGACTGACCACAATCACATGGAACATGAGGATCTATTCCTTCTTAATACTACAGACACAACTGAAGCTGGTGTAGGAAGTAACAAGGGTATGCTGCCTGATCATGCTAGTGATCACAACACTGATCAAGCTGACCAAGCTATATCCTCCCAAGAACATGGAGTCATTTCAGAATCTAAGACTTCAATACTTGCATCAGGAGAAATGACACAAGAAGAGCCACCTGATCACATGCCTCATGCACTGCCAGAACCTATTACAGATCCCTCAGTCATTCAGCCCAATGACCAATTGCCTCAGACTGCACCTACTGCAGATCCTCCCATGTCGCAACCTGTACCATCAGTTGCACTTAGAAGATCAGCTAGAGGGGTCAAACCTGCTATTTGGATGAAAGATTACTACACTCCTGGGAACTCCTCCAATCATAGTTCTTACCCTATCTCTCAATATCTGTCCTATGACCATCTTTCAAATCCTTACCAAGCCTATCTAATAGCCATCTCAACAGAAGTAGAACCAGAGTCTTTATCAGAAGCTTCACAAGATGTTAGGTGGGTTGAAGCTATGCAAAATGAGATCAAAGCCCTAGAAGATAATAACACTTGGGAAGCAGTAGACTTGCCCTGTGGCAAAAGGGCAATTGGGTCTAAATGGGTATACAAAATCAAATACAAGGCAAACGGAGAAATAGAAAGGTTCAAAGCAAGACTTGTGGCAAAGGGCTATACACAGCAAGAGGTCCTAGATTACCATGAAACTTTCTCACCAGTTGCAAAGATGGTGACAGTCAGAATAGTGATTAGCCTGGCAGCTTCAAAGAATTGGCATCTCTTTCAAATTGATGTCAATAATGCCTTTTTGCAGGGAGACCTTTATGAGGAGGTCTACATGTATCTGCCCCAAGGTTTTCATAGGCAGGGGGAGTCCAAAGTTTGCAAATTGTCCAAGTCACTTTATGGCCATAAACAGGCATCTAGACAATGGAATATTAATTTAACTGATGCCTTGACAAAAGCTGGTTTTCTGCAAAGTGCCTATGACCATTCACTCTTCACCAAGAAGAGTGGTGCAGATGTAGTAATTATATTGGTCTATGTTGATGATCTATTGATCACAGGCAGTTGTGAAGCTATGACACAGGCAGCAAAGGAGACATTGCATTTGAGTTTTAAAGTGAAGGATCTAGGGAAATTGAAATACTTCCTAGGCATAGAGATAATGAGATCACCAAAGGGAATCCTTCTCAATCAAAGGAAATATGCCCTTAGTCTAATCTCTGCAGTTGGGCTGAGTGGGGCAAAACCTGCAAGTTCCCCACTTGAACAAAATCAAAAGCTAACCACAGTAGACTGTGACAAGCATGTAGGGGCAATAGGAGATGAAGAATTACAGGATATAGGTGGATATCAAAAGCTTATAGGAAAGCTGATATATCTGACCATAACCAGGCCAAACATATGCTTTGCTGTTCAAATGCTGAGTTAGTTTATGCAACATCCAAAACAGTCACACCTAGAAGCAGCATTAAGAGTTCTAAGATATATTAAGGGATGTCCAAGGAGTACTGCTGAAAAGGGAACCTGTAGACCAAGTGACAACCTATTGTGACTCAGACTGGGCAGCCTGCCCAAACACAAGAAGATCTGTTACAGAGTATGTGGTGAAGATGGGTGATTCCTTCATCTCATGGAAACCAAAAAAGCAACAGATTGTGAGCAGAAGTTCAGCAGAAGCTGAGTATAGAAGCATGGCAGATGTGGTATCTGAAGTAGTTTGGCTCACAGGGTTGATGACAGAGCTTGGGATTGAGGTTCAAACACCTGTGAGGCTGTTCTGTGATAGCAAAGCAGCTCTACAGATTGCTGCAAATCCTATCTATCATGAAAGGACTAAACACATAGAGATAGACTGCCATTTTGTGAGGGAAAAGATCAAAGGTGGACTGATTGCACCAGAACACATATCAACAAAGGAGCAAGTTGCAGATATGATGACTAAAGCGTTAGGCACTGCATAACACCAGATTCTTGTGTCCAAGCTGGGAGTGTTGGATGTTTTCCACCCTCCAGCTTGAGGGGGAGTTTTGTGATATTTGATACTACTTAAGAATTAGGGACTAAAGTGTAAATAGAAAGAGTTAGAAGACAAGATTGTAAAAATAGAAGAGTTAGGAAGTTAGTTTAGTTAAAAGGATCAGTTATTGATCCAACAGTGATAACCGACAATAATGAAGATCTTCATTTTCTCTCCTCCTTCTCTCTAACTTTCTCTCTCTATAATTCACTGTCAATTTCACCAGTTTCATAGCTAGAATCCTGTAAATTGACAAAGTGCAATTGACATTAGGGTTTATTTATTTTTGCTAGGAGACATCAGAATAACTGAATAGGCCATTGTCAGCAGATATTTTGCACCAGATAGGAAAGAAGAGAAGTCGTTACAGAATAAAATTGTGGTATAAACAGGGTGCAGCTGCAGATAACTAGTTTTGGATCGCGCAAAATGAATAAAGTCTTGTTTAATATAATATCCCATTTCCCAGCCCGGCGATGTCTACTCTCTCAACAGGCGGAAGAGTAAGGCCTCATTTGTTTGCACTTAATGAAGGTCTGAATCTTAATCGTTCAGATCCAGCCCATTAAGTGCATTTGTTTTTTAGATCTTAACCCTACTTATTCAAATCCAGCCCATTAAGTCTATTTGTTTTTTCTCTTTTAAAACCTCTTAATAAGTCTGAATGCATATGACCGAAACAGTCCCACAACAAAGTCCTAATGGCGCTCAGACTCTTAAAAACACGGTAAACGTGATTTTCCCAATTATTCCCGCAATAAATTTTGCAACTATTCACTCAACGATAAGGCTATATTTTAGCAAATTCCACGCTTTCTTCTTCATCTTCTGTGCATAAACTTTCACGCCCCTCTCTCTCACTCTCCATTTATCATCGGCTATCCAATTCTTTTTTCTCTTGAATAGGTAAGATTCTAACCTTTAGAAAGTAGTTTGCTATTATTTTATGAACTTCGCAATAAGCTTGCTTATTATTTTGTAAAAATTATACTTGTATGAGTTTCAAGATCTCAAATATAATTTTTTGGCTCTAAACTTCTAAATTGTTTCGCGGATGGTTATCCAAGGTTTAAGCCAAGTTTGGCCGTATTTGCTGCTAGCTTTTGCAGAAGTACTTTTTTGTTGGATCTTGTGAAAATTGTTTGTAAAACAAATATATACGTATAACTTATTCACTAAGTGTTTTGTAGAATAAATTTGTAAAGTATTTTTACGGTGTAATCAGAAAGCTAACGTCTTATAGAACTAACATAACTTAATCTAATGGTATGGAAACAGTTGTAGACCTGAAATAGTGTCTAACTTTTAGGCCTAGAAGAATTTTAGAAGCTCCGTTTGAGCTAAAACTTGTTCAGATTAAATTCTTGATGAAGTGTTATTCATGTTGAAAACACAATTGCTCAAACACATTGGGACATTACGAATTTTTTTCTAGGCTTGAGGTAGCCCCATGAGCAACCTCACAGACATGTTGCTTCATATAACTGTATTATCAGAAGCATAACTTTTTCGTTGCCCTTTTATCATTTGTAGATGTGACAGAACCCTTGTTAGTTGAGGTTGATCAGATTTATCATCTTGCATGCCCTGCTCCTCCAATATTCTACAAGTATAATCCGTTAAGGTATGTCTGATATGTAAACTTGATCAGTAATTTTTTAAACATGTTAACTTCAATTGACATGCATCATCGTAGTCTTTTCTTGCTCATAAAGACATATTTTATGAGCAGAATGGCTTTACTTCTTCTTGTCAACTCCTCTTAGCGAGCAGTAATCATGATTTTCTATTGTCATTCCAAAAAAGAAGCAAAGGGAACATTAACTTGTCAACATTGCAACTCTTTTTTTTTCTATTTAACGTCACTCAGTAAGCCTCTCGGCTTTGGGTAGTATAAAATTTGGTGGTGTGCAATATCCGGTTGTGAGAAAGTCTGTTTTACAGTTGTAGTTGTATTTGTTACACTCATTTGTTCCATAAAAAGTATATACATATATCTGCTGAATCCTGATGAGTACTCACATATCAAGTTCATGAGGGTTTTGTGAAACTTCTCGCTCACACTCTCTGCTTCTTTTTGCTTTTATTATTGTGTCTTTCCCTTTCTCAGTTGGCTCATCCTTTATTTGTTTTTACAATATAGTTTCTGCACCAGCAGGGTACAGACAACATAATAATCCTGTGTTAAGAATATTGAACCATGAGTTACTAGTGGTTAAGGTGGCTAGAAGTGCATAATAATTTACATCATAGTATTGCCTAATTTTCTTATAATTATCATTTGGTAGTGTGATACTGTGAGTGAGTCATATGGTTAATTCATCTTAGGCCGATAACTCAAATTTGGTCAAATAAACATATATATGGATTCCAGTTCTTTATCATACTACCATGACCATGTATAACATGAACATGCAATAGTCTAAAAGTGCACTCTTGCCTCATCAGTTCTCTTTCAATAATTATTATTATTTTATATTTCAGCTATGGAACAATCTAGTGAAAGTTCAAGAGCGAGTTGGAAAAATATGGATGTAGTAAAAACCTTTTTAGAAAGTTGTATTCAAGAAATATCCTTAAACGGAAGACTTGGAAGTAGTTTAAAGGCAGATTCATGGAACAAAGTTAAACTAGTTTTGGAGACTACTCATGGCTTTAGTGTCACACAAAAGCAGATGAAGAATCATTATGATTATCTAAAAGAAAAGTATCAAGCTTGGTTGCCAATAACCAAAACGACCGGCAATATTTATGACCCAGCAACCAATACCATTCTAATGTCTAATAGTGAGTGGGATGAGTACATAAAGGTTAGTTCATTATCAAGTAATTTAACTTTTCCTTTTTTTTTTCTATAAAGGAAAAAGTTTGACGTGCATATTAAAAATCTCTTTATTATAGGCTCATCCAAAAGCAAAGGCATTGAAGACTTCGCCTCTACCATTCCCAGATCTTTGTACAAAACTTTTTGAGGGTTCTACAGCAACAGGAATTCATGGTTGGAGTCCAAGCTGTACATATCCCGCCCTGGTGTATCTTCAGTATCTAATGCTATAGATGTAGATACACTTGATAGCGTCGAAGATCTAGTTGGTAATAAGAATGACGGAGCTCCTACTGATTATCCATCTCAGTCTTCAGTTCCAATTGAAAAGAAACCTTTGGGAAAGAAAAAAAAATCTGCATCGTCTCAGTTGGACATTGAAGAGAAGATGAGTATTGCATTAGAGTTATTGGTTAAAAAAAATAGCGGGCTTGACGTTGAAGAGTGCATGGTAAAACTAGAAGAACTTGGATGGGAAGAACCATTATACAGTGCAACTGTTAGTATACTTTGCGAAGGTGACAGCTACAGGAAAGCATGGATGAACATTACCGAGGTTGACAAATTAGAGAACTGGATTAAGGCCATGGGGAAAAAAATGGGGCTTATTTGATTGTTCTAATTAGCTAGAATATTAATTAGACGTTAATAATATGGAACCTTCTTTGTTTTTTCCAACTATTATCGATTATGCTTATTTAATTTTTTAATAAAATATTATGCTCGTGGAACATTTTTAATCTGTGATATACCTATTTGAAATGTCTTATTTGAAGTATGTTTGATGTGCATGGTATTGTTTTACTAATTAATTTATTTTGGTCATGTAACTTTTTATATTTTTCAAATACATAATGTGGTATGCTTATTATTGTGTATTACACATTCTCTTTGTTACAACAGTTTAGACATGGACATTGAGGATCAAGTATTAGCGTTGATGAGCTTGTATTGGTGTAAAAATCATTTTAGACTCAAGAATATCCAAAGAAATAAAGATTTAACATCATCTTTATCTGGTGAAAAGTACACACAAGAATTGTTGTTCGGCTCTAGTCGACAGTGTTTAGAATTGATGCGCATGTCTCGTGATGCATATGTTCGGCTATGTCAGCATTTTAGACATAAAGGATGGCTCATAGATAGCAAACATATTTCCGTTGAAGAAAAGATAGCAATATTTCTGACCATTATAGGCCATAATGAGCGTTTTGTGGTTATGAAGAGAAGATTTCAACATTCTTCGCAAACGGTTCACAAATATTTTCATGAGGTTC